CACTTGTACTAACCGTGGTTGACCTGATGCATCTAAATTACATATATCCAAATCAATGGGACAACAGGTAACGTAGTACATGTACAAAGAAAGACGTATCACATTACTTTTTATTATTATTGTTGTTTTTTCACTGTCCTATTTGTTGATGATTATAGTTAGTCTTTAAAGATACTGGAATTGCCCCCCCCAATACACGATTATTGTCTTAACAGGATGTCCTATATTCCTTACTAATAAATACTGGTTACCAACTGCTGTTTCATGTTATCACAATCCTTGTGACAAATATCCTTGCAAAAAACACTCATGAATAAAATCCTTTCAACCGATCCAACCTTCATGTCTCTTCTTTATAACACTGATTTCAGCATCAACATTCTCACGCCTATAAATTGCAACAATCTCTGTAATTATTTCTGAAACAATATTTGTTCAGTTGGCTAGTACATAATCGATTCTTACGAATTCCAGTTCGTTGGTTTCTAAGTTGAATGTTTACTGAATCTTTCATTCGGCTAATTAACAATCATTTAAAAACCCTTTCTGGTACTGATAGCAGTGTGATGTCTCACACTTATTCAGATCTTCTTTCTTCGGTATGTCGATCAGGTATTAGTAATTACGGTCTGTTGCCCCCTGTTATTTTTCATAAATTTTTCTGCAGAAACCACGAAACACTTTTGCAGTTACCTCGGCATTTGACTTCAGTGCTTCAAATCGTATACTATCTGATCCTATTGCCTAACGTTTCTTGATTTTTCCGGTGACCTTTCTACTTTCCTTCTGTTGTTGGTGAGGTATCTGTTATAGATAGGCCAGTATGTGCCACTTTGATGACAGATGGAATCATTGAAGTTGGTCTATCCGAGAACTCCTCAAAGTGTTACATGCATATATCTCGCTGCTCTTGTATCTAAAAGATGGCTTTACTTTCTTTGTTCTCGGCTATTCGCTCTGGTCAACCCAAGTTTACTGTTAGATTCTTCGTTGTACCGTGTAGTTCAGTAATGTTTCTTTCTCTTCAGCTTACTTTACTGTCGTTGGTAGGACTTCTAAATATTTCCACTTGCAGCTCTAATGATCTTTATTCATTTGTTTGCTTCCGGGCATTCAGCCTGTGGCTTGGCATTCGCCGATCTCGTTCGGCTATTTTCGACTGTTGTTTCTTGTTTTACCTTCCCCGACTCCTGTCCAAGATGCCCAATTAAATTCATTCTTTATTCTAGTGTTTATTGGTGTCCAGCATCATCTAACATCTTGAAGTTATTACTTCCTTAATTTTTTTTTCAAGTTGTACACTATATTAGTTCCTTTTTCGGGTAAGTCGTGTAAGATTTGAAACTTATTGATTAGAACTATATGATACTCGCTGAGCTTGTTATCTTATTCGTTGTGCTCCTTATCCAAGTGTCTGGTGCTTCATTAGCTTGGCCAACCCAAAGTGGTGATCTGAAGTTGTTTCTATCCATCTACTTATTCTTACATCTTCCGTTAGACTTCTGAATGTTTTGTTGATTCAGATGAGATCGATTTGATCTTCTGTAATGTGACTAGCTGAAGCTCAATAAGATTTGTGTACGAATTTGTTGGGGTAGAATAATGTCGCCTATAATCATGTTGTTGAGTGCACATGTATTCCCCATTCTTGCTGCTTTATTCCAGTTCTTGTCGCTCCGTGATGTACTCATGCACATTGTTGTCCACTCTTGAACTCGTCATTTAAGTTCTTCATCAAAATGATTCGGTTTTTCTCTGAACACTTTCCTATGATAAACTACAACCTGCCATAAAAATGGTCTCTGTCATCTCCTCTGTTATCATTGGTGAGTGTGTACTACTGAGCGAAATTCATTAAAATAATTTTTTTCTTTGTTTTAAAGGGTGCTTTATTGGTCCTGAAACCATGAGTTCCCTATCCTATGTGAAACTTTTGTACTTTGGACAGCATCAGTTTAATACCTTGTGTCCGTGGAGCATTTCCTTTTTCTGACCATAATGTCATAACAGTTCTCATGAAACTAGTCCTTTCGTTCGGGTTGGATCCAGTCAGTTTCGAATATTCCAAGTAGATATATGATGTGTTTTTTCAATTCCTCGGGTATTCGAATGACCTGATTCTCTAAACGTCCTATGTTCTTATGTTTATTGTTGTCCTAGTTGTCTTGTGACTTCCGAAACCTCATGGCTTTCAACGTGCGGCATCATAATTCTTCTAGGTAAAGACCCTTTAGTTCACAAATCTTATTTTAATAGGTTTAGTTGACTTACTCTGGTTGGTGCTTTCACAACATGGTTTTTAAGGTGCTGGGGTTGATAACTCCACAACCAACACTACCTATCTACCTGGGTCCGGGACAGATAGTAACCCGATAAGGGCTCAATGTTGGGTCAATAACTGTGATTTAGTTACCAATAAATTCTGAACAGTTATTTCTGTTCTAAAGTTTGATCGTAGTTTATTGATGTTTCTCCGGCTAATTGACTAAATGAAATTCAAGACGAATAATCTGATTTATTGAATTTTTATTTAAATTTATATGAGAACAAATAGTTTTAAGATGTACATACTTTGATTTTACAGATTTCTGATGAACTACTTGAATAAGTGAAATAGTCAGACTGATTACTTTAATCACTGAGTCGATTGCTGAATAAATAGAATGTGCGTTTCGTCCGATTTGGGACTCGTCAACTGGATATGCCTGCATCCCAGGGTTGATGTTCACTCAGGAACTCGAACCCAGTGCCGTTCGCTTCAAACGTCATCGCGTTATCCATTTAGCTACTGAGTCCTGGTAGTTAATTGGATAACGCAATGGCGTTTGAGGCGAACGGCACTGGGTTCGAGTTCCTGAGTGAACATCAACCCTGGGATGCAGGCATATCCAGATGATAAGTCCCAAATAGGATGGAAAGCTCATTTGGGATTCCACTGCTAGCCACTATCCATTTTTGTCTATGGTGCTTGTGAATTAAGGCTATATAGAGACATTACACACATATGCCAATAAGTGACTGATCAATTGCAGTCCTAAACAATGGGAAGATACGAGTAAAACAACACCAAGTGAATATAAAATCAATTGCTTATAAACTTGAATTTACTCTTCAAATATACAAAAAGTAACATGTTCAATCAAAATAGTATGACAGTAAATTGCTCATGAAATAATTCATAGACAATTAAAGAATAAAACAAATATAAGAAACAACCAATAATCTTTAAATCTTTAAATGACTTTTCCCAGATGTATATGTTTACATTTTATGCACAAAACAGTATAACAGCATTGAAAAATTATTAGCACTTACTATCCAATAAGTTGGCCTCTAAGTTACAACTAATTGATCAAAAGTAAGTGGTCAGTGTCACAATTATCTTGTCTTAGAGCTGTTTGAATTCTATCCATCAATTAACAATGTGATCACTAGTCTTAAGAATTCAACATCATGTGAGATATTTTGAGATGTTAGATGGTCGGAGGTTGTTGACAGTGATTATCAAGGTGTGCCTGTAAAGCTGAGTCACACGGATCCAATCCGCCGGATAGTATACACATATACCATGTTGAAAAGCTCATAATGTCACGAAACCTAGTTCTATGCTTTTTTGTTGACTAACTCCAACTGCCAAACATAATTCAAATATTAATAATAACTTTTACTAATAATTTTATGTGAACAACTTGCATGTACACACGTTAAAACCATATCACATTAATTTATCAAATGAAGTATTTAGATTCATTTGTTTACTGTACTGTATGGTTTATGAGAATACACTGTTTATGTATCGAATATTTATATACTTAAAATTAGATGGCAAGATGTAAATGTATAGTTCAAAGGATATTTAATTACAGGTTAACGTTTTTCCCTCTCACTCTTATCTTAATAACATAATCTAAAAGAGTCAGAAAAAATTATTTCCCGAATGTATCACTAGTGAGAAAATATTTTTGATCCACCGTTTTTTTACAGATAAATCACTTCAATGATTGGCTGTATGTACAATATGAAGTTATATTAAAAGAAGACACATGATAATCTTAACTAATGTATATAGTAATATTTGTCATTACGAACTGATACTAACTAGGAGATTAGTCAAAACTAGCTAAGACTGGACTTTTATTTCGTCCTAGTATGAATTGAATATTAATGTTAAGTATTAGTAGATATTTTTGTTGTTATTGCACATACAATTCAGTTTCACAAGCATCAGTTCTTGTTACTATATTATCTATAACTCATCGGTTTAAAAATAGTATATTACGTTTTTTAGAAATCAAGTATTTAGTGGTACTGAACCATATCTTCCTAGTAATCTTTACAAAAAGAATGCGTTTGTCAAAAAACTGATTGACATTATTTATACATATATTACAAAAATTGTTTGTTATTTGTATCGATGTAAACAAAATGAATGGTGTTTTAAAATATTACAAAAAGTATTTATTCAGGTTAAAACAATAATCTACGTTGTTTATTGAAAACAATTACAGAACTTTTCAACAATACTAATGCATTATTTTCTTGATGCATCTAAATCAAATCGAATTCTCTAGAAAATTGATTCTTAATTCTTACAAACGAACTTAAGTGATCATACTATTTATAATATATCCAGATTCACAAAGCAAATCAATTGCATGGACTCTTTAAAATTTATTATCAAAGATTTCCGAAAAGATTAAACAATTTCGCCTTGGTAACAAAAGTGGTAGTAATGAATATGCTAAACTGTAGATTGCAACAATCGTATAGAAGGAGATTCGATGACGAAAATTTGATCTAGTCATATGGACGAACATTGTTCATTAGGTGACTCCATTTCACAAATTATGTCGTACGTATTAGATAATTTACTAGGTTTCCATATAATTTCATATGACATGATACTATACAAAACGATTTACCTTTATTCATTTATCACGATGAATTTTTTCATTTAAAAATTTCAACTCATTATCTTTCTTTGCATTTCTCTCATCAAGGTGCTGATGTGAATCATTCAGATTCAGATGGTCGCACTGCATTGCATGTTGCAGCTTTTTGTGTACAAAAATCCACTGGACACTCAGATATTGTTGCCTGCTTGTTAAATCATGGAGCAAACCCTAATTTACCAGATAGTGAAGGTATTACACCATTACTTGGTGCATCTAACAGTGGTAATTATTTAGTATGTGAGTTATGCCTTGAATCTGATGCAGACGTGAATATGGCAGATAAGTAAGTAGAACCTAAATAACGTTTTATTTATATTGTTTTATGTAGAAATAAGACTACAAAATGTTCCAAGTGTAAAATTCAAGTTAAAATCACTATTCTTGTACAATTCAAGAGTTCACAATCGGTAAATTCTATCTGACAAATGTGTTAGAAGCAAATAAGCAAATTTCTATACAACTAATTGTTAATATTTGTAGTTCACATGAGGAATAAATATTAACTAAGGCTAAAAGTAAGATTCAGGATACAATTAACGATTGATATGATGGTGTCCATTAGTACAAGGCCATGTGATAAATCAGTTGTATTTTGTCTCCCACTACTGATTCATAACACATAAGCTTTTCCTTTCTATATAGTTTATTTTTTAAAATTTCTGTTCTGTGATTGTAATAAACAGACTGAAGTTTATTTTGTGTAAAATTTGTTATTTACTTAAGTGTCTCGAACATTCACTGTTTTCTAATGACTCATTTTTCATATGAATTAATGCATTCATCTTTGTATACCATTTAATGCTGTTTATTTATAAACCACATAGGGTCGTAAACAAATTTTTCAAATAGATAAAATGTATAATAGTTACCAAGACCTATTATACGTTGTTTATTGAACTTTATTATAATAGTGTGTCATCATTTTGTATCAACAATCTATAAAGCTTAAAAATTGTAACTTTTATTATTCTGGAATTTTTTGAAAATTTTTCATATTGTAGTTAGTGAGAAATGATAATTTTTAACTATAGTTATTTCTTGATATTGTTTTATTTGAATCTTCCCATTGATGTTTTTGGACTGAAATTGATCAGTTATTTCTGTTTTCTTCTTCTTATCATTTATATCTGTACTTTATAACTGAAACATATATGTTGGAATGCCTTTTGCAATCAGCAAAGTGAGCTTTCAATGTAGAAGTAAGGACATAAACGATCAGTAGGATATGAAAACTTCTTAAATGTTTTCTATTAAGACTAATGTTTGCATATAAAATTGGTTGGTATAGTTAGAATAAATAGTTCTAATTTGTTTGAAAGTAAACAATAAAACATACTACACTTATTGTTATTATTATTATTATTATTATTCAGTGAACTACAAATAACCGAAAGAATTCGATATTTTCCTTTAAAAGGTGTCTGATAACTGTATAAGTTGTTTAAATATTGTTTATATTAGAAAAATATACGACCACAGTGTAGAAACGTTTTATCAATACAAAAAAAGTTCTTACATTCTGTTATTTTTCTTTCTTTAATGTGATCTTTTACTTACTAATTACTACAAATAGTGTTATTTTTATTAAAATATTATATTCTAAATTAATGTATTGCAACAGATAAACTTGTAGTTTGTTTGTGTACACAAAATAAGTTTATATCAAGAATTATCTAATGTGTTATAAGTATATATAATTGGGTAATTATAGTCTCTCTCTATGTCAAAATAAAATAGTTTCAAATAATGTGCTTGTAACAAATTAAGACACCTAATTAAGTTCGGTTAGTTTTTCAATGCTTATTCTACACAACTGATGGCTTCTTTGCTTATAATTCAAGTATGATTGTATACAACTATCTTTTATTGAATATTGTTAAAAAATTGAAAAAGAAAACAGTTATATTTATTATGCAAAAAAAAGACAATACAACAATCTCTTTATTTTATGGGTGCAATTTTGTTTGACAAATAAGATGGTGTTTTTGAATAGTGAATGATTTGACAATGAACAATTAATTTGAAATGATCAATTCAAAACTTGATAACGATACTAAGAACTTCAATGTCGGTTTACATTAAGAAATTAATTTTTAGTTAGACAACAATTAAAAACCATAAAAGACTAATGCTTCTGATTAAGTTTGACTAAACGATTATTGAATCTAACTTAACAATTATAGTAAATTTATTTCATTTCAGAAGACTTCGCAGACTACAATATGTTTTTGAACAATACATTTTAAAGAGTAATAACTTTACAATGGCAATTTTAATGATTCGGAACAACCATATATCAATAAAGTATCACTTAAAACTGTGAAACATCAGTTGAACATACCTTACATGAAATCATAGCCAGTAGACTTCCCACAAGTGACTGAATCATTTGTTTTAACAAATGAACATCGATTAGAATGTTTATTATTGCTTTTTATTAAAAGAAACATTTTAAGTCCTGTTGTTAAATTCGTATTTGTCAACTTATTTGTATGCAAAGTTCATGGATTTACTGACCACCCTTTACATTGGCCTAAAATGTAACACTTCAAAATTTATTAAAGAAATTCGAAATAATCTCTACGTCTGATTTCAATACTTTCCACACAGGAATATAACCTATTAAAATCATTGAAATGATTTCACACTTTGTTTTCATACCTTTTATCAATGAAGAAAACCAAAGGTCCTGGGCTCGAATTCCGCTTGTGGGATTGTGGATGCGCACTGCTGAAGAGGTCCACACTAGGACGAAACGGCCGTTCAATGCTCCCATATTTTCAATCGCGGTCTAATATTGATTGATTCATGATCTCAATCAAGAACTCAACAACCTCCACAACCCTATACTGAGAAGAAAACATCATTTGTTAACAATCGCGAAATAATCTGAAATTAACGGAATAAAATTCGCATGAGAAAAATGAAACGATAGTTGTTTTGCGATTTTTAGCCGTTATAGTTAGACATATTATTAACATTCTTGTTCATGTTTATATTAATGGATACTGAATATATAAGTACATATGTATGTATCCATTTTCACATAAAAAAAGTCAAACGTAATTAATATTCGAGTGAAAAAAGTCTTACCGTAACACACTGAAGTAAAGCAAACAAAACTAACATTAATCAATTCTTGGTGGTTAATCCTTATTGTCAAAATGTTTATGAAAACCTTTTCATCCAATTATCGATGACCAGAAAGTTGTTGAAGACTTATAGAAAAATACTTCTTCCATAAGAAAAACATTTTAATATAATGTGCAAAACTTTGTATTTAAATTTAGGAGAATTGATAAAAATCCAAATGAAGAACTTTCTTGCAAACAATTTAGACCTAATTAATTATTCGTAAAAGTGATTAATCCGTGTTAAGTTTTTACTCAAAGATGAATCGATTCGGTTCATTTCAATATTCAAGCTTCATTAACGTTATTAATGTTATTCTTTAGTAAATGGATGCGGTTTACACACTGACATTATGTTAGAATCCCCGAGCATTTAAATATTATTAAAGAAGAATCTTTTCTATTCGAAGATTAGTTTAATGGTGCATATAATAAAGTATTTTTAGGATAAAACATGAGATCCTCAGGATTTTTAGTAGGTAAATATTCTTCCACTTAGGATATGTCGTAACTGAAGTATAGTCGTAGTGTCATGTTCTATGAATTTTGTGGGGATTTTCACAGGTAAATCATATTTTCAGTTTAAATACAACTGAGTTGACTTATACATAACAATTTATACTTATTTATACTTACTTACTTCGTAAACTATTTGTGTTGCTTATAATAAAATGTTTAATATTGTTGTTTCAATAAATTCTTGCATTTCTTTTATCTAGTCTTTTGATTTTACTCTATTTTTAATCAATTATTTTAGATCTGGACGTACTCCTGTTATGTTGTCCGTTTTAGGCGGTCATACCGATATTGTACGCTTATTGTTGTTTTGGGGTGCTGCAGTTGATATAATGGATTATGCAGGACGATCATTACTAAGTATAGCAGCACAGATTAAGAATGCACAAATTGTACAAGAATTACTTGCACGTGGTCTGGATGAAGCTCATAAAGATCATTCAGGTTGTACTCCATTACATTTAGCTGTCGATAACTTGATTACCAACGAGTTCTCTACAGAAAATGTAAACAATCGAGATGAATGCTGTGAAGAAGTGGTGCGGTTAGTGCTGTTTAGCATATATATTTACGTAACATTGATATATATATATATATAGATAGATATATATATATATATTGTTGATTCAATGGTTTATTATAAAATACACCATTGCGTTTCACGATTCAGCTTCGTATCAATCTTATTTTTCTAAAACCGACAAAGATACAAGTAGTTTAAACGAGCGTAAAACCAGTGGTTTGTTTTGTAATTCTGTTCAAAAGGTAGTCACTATGGACGTTTTGGAAAGGCTAAGTTCTTCACATCGTGGATTGAGAGTGTATAAATTGGGGTTGTAGAAATTGTGAACATCACCATACTTGTCCCCTTATGCAAAAGACGTGAAAATGTTTTTTAATAAAATTGTTCTGGTCTTAGATTCTGGTGACTGATGGACTTTCATCCAGTCACGCTCTATGGTCACTGAGATTTCCGATTTACACTGAAGAGTATTTTTAATCTTCAGAATCTTAGATTTTATTAGTTCTTTCCTGTTTTTAATCCGGTATTTAACGAATTCTTCCATTAAATAACCAAAACATTTCTCAATGAAACATATTCAATTCTTTTATGTCGTAAGTCAAAAGTATTTATATTTATAGCACATGATTTTTCCTTTTCTTACAGCCTGTTGTTAGATGCCGGAGCGAATTTAGAAGAAACCGATAATACTGGCCGTACACCCTTACTTGTAGCGTGTCAAGCAAATAATATGAAAGCTGTACAAGTTCTTTTAAATTACCCTACTAACGATCCTTCAACTTGCAGAAGTCCAACTCATTCGGGTTCGTCGGAATCACGACAACAACTAAATCCAACCCCTTCGCACTTACATTTGCCGCATTCGTTTCATCCTTGTATTAATAATGCTTCTTATGATGGTCAAACACCTTTGCGAGCTGCAGCATTTCATAATAATCATGATATGGTGAAGTTGCTGCTTTCATACGGTGCTGATCCAGATCATCAGGTAATTCTATTTTCTAAGATATCCTAACATATATTTATTATTTTGAATTGTTCGTTTGACAATAACTGCTACTGAAATATTATGTTATCTCGTTTGCAATCATGAAAACCTTTTTTTCGCTGTAGAAACATACTTAATACATTTGTGAAATTATCCTAAAATCAACTACTCACAAGCCTTAGTTACTTGCAGAAAAGATAGTTTAAGATGACTAAAATACTATTCATCAGTTAATTAAAATAATCGATAGTGTCACTGAATAAGAAAAAGAGAATTCAGAGAAGAAAATTCTCCTTTCGACGAAATCATTTACTTAAACTGTACATTCGTATATATAGTTATATGGAAAATATGTCTAAAGGAGGATAGAAAAGATTGCATTATAAATTGATTCGAGACTAAATAACAAATGAGGTTACGTACTAATCAAGGAGTAAGGTGGAAAATAATTTATGGGTCAGATAATAGTCTAATTGACAGATATGAAGAAAAAAGACAAACATAAAGGTCATCAGTCGTTTCTTACAGAAACATTATTTACGAACTTACATCACTTGAATAATGCATAGGTAAGGTAGCATGGAGGTTAAAGCATTCAGCTTTCCTTCAGTAAGCTATAGAAGTGAAACGTGCTCAAATCCTCTCAAACGTATCGGAGTAATACTACAACCGGTTTTCATACATTTCGTTCGAAATGTGAGCACACGGATGGACATTTGACTTAAATTAAATACTAAGCTATATAGGTGCAGTTGACAGTGGACAGAAGATAGATACTTATCACCAATGTCAACGGATGGAGGTTTCATAAGAACGTAAATCGACTAGTTGAAAATACTGATCATTGAACATTGACCCAGTGATCTATAGGTTTGGGCCTTGACTCAAAGACTGAGTCATAGGTTTAAACCTTGTATGTGTTGTAGATGCACACTGTTGAGGAGTTCCACGCTAGAACGAAACAACGTTTCATAGTTTCATGTTTTACGATGGTAATCTAACTTAAATCGGTCCGTTTAGTAAATAAAAGGAACTGATTTTAAAAATAGTTTATAATTTTTCACTCTTGAATCATCTCTATTAGTTAGCTATATCACTCATACAGTCTCAAGGAACACAATGTAGGTTACAATACACAATTTCCTCTGTGCAATTTGTGATAAAATGACTGACCAATTAGATTTGTTTCATTCCCGAATTTTTCTACACGTTGTTTAGCTTAAATATTTGTATTAGCTTATGTATATAGGTTATGAATGATAAACTGCTAAGGAGACTCAATTTATCTACTTTGTTATTATCAGTAATAGGAGTTGTGGAGATTGTAATATTTTTAACAGGTGAATTCATGATTCGATCTAAGCTAGACCTCCATTGAAGGGTTGCGCAAGATCATATATCGATCGAAGTTAGGCATTAATACCGTTGGATGCCGTTTTACCCATCTAAAGGCTAAGCGTTCGCGTGCAAGACCGAAGGACCTGGGTTTGAGACTTGAGTGTGAGATGGTGAATGCGCACTGCTGAGGGGTCCCACACTATGACGAAACGACTGTCCGGTGTTTCCAGGCTTTCAATGGTGGTCTAGCTAAGATCGACTCGCAAATTCGACTGCTTTGTTTTTATTAAATGTCAATTCTTTCCTGAATGAATGGGCGCCATAACGTTTCTCTAATTCGTGTTTCCTCCCTGATATTTAGTTAGTTATCCGAATTATAGTTTATGAATTCTACTGTCTCCCAAAGTCACCTTCTGATGCTTTATGTACAAAGTCATTCAATTCGGAAGTTGTGTACTTAAATTTCAAGAGTCTCTTAAACTGCTGGTATCTTCCTGTCTTCCACTACGATAGGTATTATTGTTGGGTTTTTGTTCATCAGTCGCTTAGTCTATCGAAACTGGATTAGGTTTCATTCACACTAGAATAATTCCAATTGTTTGTACTGTAGGTGAACAGCGTGGATGACCTGTATCAAATGATTGGGCGTGGATAGCCAGCTAACGTAGAAGTCACACCTCACGGTTAATACATAATGTTGATTATTCTTTCGTCGCATTTGAGTCCGATGGCTGCTTTGATGACCGTACAACACAAACGACGTTGTTACAGAAGTATATTAGTAAACGTAGGCGCAAGAAACAGAGTGCGACCACTGCTGCATAGGCCAGTCCATGACCTGCAATTAACGGGTGAGCGTTGGTTGTTTTTGAAGTTGATGAGGATCGGCGAACTGTTCGACATCCACTGACCCGACTGCCGGATGATTTGTCTGGGGCTCGGTGGAATTTCTTTGACCCTACAGTGCTTTATGATTATTGCGGGCGGTTTCAAAACTTAACGTAAACCTTTTACACGAATATTCACTTGTGCTAAAGACTATATATATGTTACTTAGAGTCAGTCGGATAGGAAAAGTGATCCCGAATACCCTAATGAAGTTGGCCATATCCAATAATACAACTAAACTCACTTTTTGAACGCTTTTCGAATTGAGTTTCCTTTTCGTTCTTTTATTTCAAATGAATAATCAAAAAAGTCCATCATTTCAATATTATATCATTATTTTATTGTTATCATCAATACACTTGTAACCGAATGCATGGAAAACATATTTTCTATTGATTGTAATTAGTAATAACTTCAACCTGAAAGTTAGCATCTGCATTTGAAGTTCGTGGTATATTAATATACTGACAGATAATTCCCATTTTAAAATTAAAATTAAAACACGAAGTTCAGCGAAGGGATCTCTTTTCAACGAATTTATTATCAAGCTGTACAATCGTATAAATATGAAAATTTTGTTTTTGTAAAAGCACTAATTCCGTGAGGAAATGTGAACACAATTAATAAAAAAGGTTATAACACTAGATTACGTAATATGAATAATAACAATAACAAGCTCTTACCATCCAGGAGCTTAAACCAGAACTAAGCGTACAAAAGAAGTACGTCTTATCGTTATCGTTACCTTGGCCTTAATTATTTTGATTATCCTATTATTATTATTATTATTATTACTGCATTCCCCCTTTACTTATGTCTTATTTTTTACACCTCTATGACCTTTAATTATTATGACAAAAAACATTTCAATCATCTTATTATATTCACTAAATCTATTGTTATTATTCATATTACGTAATCTAGTATTATAACCTTTTTTATTAACAGTGTTCACATTTCCTCACGGAATTAGTACTTTTACAAAAAGAAAAATTTCATATATATATACGATTGTACAGCTTGATAATAAATTCGTTGAAAAGAGATCCCTTCGCTGAACTTCGTGTTTTAATATTAATATATGTTTGGAAGTGAGTAACTAGACATGTCAGGTTACCAAAAATCGAGTTTATCATTTCCAGTATAAACATGAACCGTCGACCCTATTGTATAAGTTATAAGTTTAACTGTAAATAAAAATTTAACTGACTGCTATCGTAAATGAAAAATATCTCTATGATTATGTATCAGTAAGTGAATCATTAAAGTTTTTTAAAATTACATCGAATATATAAAAGTACGGTATATATGTACGTTTGAGATTGAGAATTTATCAACCTATTCATATCTTGTTCCGCACAATAATGCAAAATATATTACACTTTTCGGAAAATTGTATATATATAATCATTTGTCATTACAATTACATATCCTTCCGCTTGATTTTTTATATATCTAGTAATTTATGTATTTTAGCATTCTGAAGCAGGCTAAAGATTTATTAGTTTTTAAATAATTACTATTTCGTTATACTTCTTTTATAAAGGATGCTTACGGTCGAACTACCCTTTACATGTTAGCTTTAGAAGGCCAACTTGATATGGCTGATTTACTTTTACACTGTCCAGCTCCTGGTGCATCATCACGTCCAGGCTCAAGTCGATTAATTGGAGCGAATCCCGTTTTATCAGATGATGAAGGACGTTTCCCACTTCATGTAGTTACATGGCTTGGGAATGTTAATTTTGTTCGTATATTGTTACAGGTAATAGAATAAATTATATTTGTAAATTTCGCTTAAATTGAGTTGTGAGTTGTTAAATGTTGAAAGAAATCAAACAAACATGTGAGCCACTGTTTAAGATGAATTGCGCTCTGCCGTGCAAAGTTTTTCAATGTAACTAATAATGAAAGGTGTCTCGAAGGTTGGTGGAGCAGCCTAGATTTATTTATGGAAATCATTAGTTTTTCATAACTTTTATATTCAAGTATACACATGGTTTCAGAATAATCATGATTTTTCCGACTTGTTTAGGTCCTTTTTTATCTGGACAGTACGGCTAGGTCCAAAATTCAAGTTGATGGTTTTACTTAGGCTGTCTCTAAAATTTTTACCATTGAGTGTTACGGTGCCGCTTCATTCAGTTGTGCTCACACACTGACCAATGAATTACTGCCAGTTCATGTGATTGGGAAGAGAAATTATTTAGTATCCAGTTATCAAGCTGTATCAACTCTTTAAGTATGCAACTGATAAGTTGTTGTATTACATTAGTGTTAAGTTACAAGCCTGTTATATATATATATATATATATATATATATATATATATATATATAACAAGGTTGTAACAAGAGTTTTATAGTCTACCTGAATTTTGAGTTATCAAATAATCCATTAGGCGTAACTGTTAGTGAAACTGGAAGTTTGACTAGGTTATTAATTTTCTCTAATTTATATGATGAGTTACGTGGTAAAAAGCACACAAACAGATGCAAGATTGATATGACTAAATTTGCTAACAAGTTCACATATTATTTCAATATAGTCTGCTTTTATTCCTCTTATTATCTGTAATTTATTCTGTAAATAAAAATCGACACTCCTCAAGCTGTGAAATTATCTCACTATTTTTGGGACCGTCTTCATAGAGAACGACGGAGCCTTCAGAGGTTTTTAAGGAGTCAGAGAGTTTCCACTCAATCAGAACCTGATGGAGCTCTCTAAAATATGAACGTGGCGTGCTATGGTTGGGTGGTAGCATAACTTGCTTCCTTGTGGATTGGCTGAATTACAATGATGTTATAACCAACGTTTATAGCTATAAATACATATGCGTTTTTCCACATTTTCGATCCTTACTCCAGCTTTCTTCTCCCTTCTAATTTGCGACTGCGGGGTTTTATACATTCTAGTGCCGTTAGTTTTATATCACACTCTGCGTTGCTCATGTAGAGAACGTAACAACTATCAAACGAACCTAAAAGTCATGCTGTTACCCATTTTCTTACTTCTGATGTTATTTATTTGACAGAAATCATTAACATTTCACAGCCTCATCATAAAATATTTTATTGTAAACAACTTGAACTCATAAGTACTGTGTATACGTGTGACATTGTTTTATATTGATGAAATTGGTCATATATAAAAGAATATTTATTTGAAAACTTTGATTGAACTATAGTTGCCCTTCATTTACTTCTTTTTAAGCTGTAAAATAAATAATTTTTATACCAGGTTTTTCATCATTAAAGTACTATAAATATGGCAATATAACCTTGAAAGTTTACCAGTAAAATTGATGATCACATTTCTATGATTTTACCATAGATTGATAGACTTGAATGTCACATGTTATGTATTATGCAAGTAATCAATCCGTACTGGCCAACTAGAATATTTCCACTTTATGTGTTCAAATGTGTTCAAATTAAATCACGAAGTATTTCTAATAAATTGTAAAACGAATTTTCTTTTTTGATCCTTTAGAGAAGTAATGGACTGATTTATATATATATATATATATATATATATATATATATATATATATATATATATATATATATATATATATAACTACTAACGACGCATTGAAGCTTAGCTTTTATTCAGCAGGTAGATTCGCCGAAAAGCTACAATTAAAATTTTTATTTAAAATGACTTGGATTTTCCTGTTGTTGATATTGTTGACTGAAATTTGATTGGTCATGGTCGGCATATAGGTGTCCGGTTTTGGACTGCCTCGATGTAGCCATTATTCAGGCTCATTTAACTGAGGAGTCTCAAATTGAATGAAACACACATCCTAAGTCTTCTAGTTCCATTCAATCCATACCATACAGTTCAAACGTTTCAGATATGCTGACTTATCTGAGTGTCTACCATATATCTGTAATATATCTGTTTTCAGTTTTAAAATCCGTCTACTTATTCTGTTTGTTTCCTAAGAAAAACTACTTTCATTAATTTTTAAATCTCTTTTCAGTATTTTACATAGTTTTGTCTATCTAACAGTCTATTTAATATCACTATGCATTTTTCCAGGCTGGAACACCAGTAGATATTCGTGATCGAGAAGGTAGAACACCTTTACAACTTGCAGCATGGCAGGGTCACGCTGAAATATGTCATATATTACTGAATGAAGGAAATGCTAGAGTGGATGCAGTTTGTAGTCAAGGCGCAACAGCTTTATGCATCGCTGCACAAGAAGGTCATTTGAATGTTTGTAAAGTATTACTACATGTAGGTGTTTTGTGTTCTTCTGTATTGAAATAAAAATATATTTAAAGCTGATCAACAGTTATTTATTTCAGGTGCTAATTTATTAAGATGAATAACAGTTTTATACTAATGTACATTTGTTAATCACCGAGGTAAACAACCTAACTATCTTTTAAAGATACTACAAAATTAATGTGAAGCGCTTAAAAAATGACGATTTTTCATAAAGTTTATATTTTCAGTGTACATAATTATTTCACTATAGATCATGCGGCCTAAGAGAATATGAAAGTACTAATTCGCTTTCAAACTGAATCGAATAGTATGTATTAGTGATTAGCTTCAGTCATAACTCTCTATTTAATCAGCACTTTGGAAGTAGTTTATCAGACATTCCATATTCATCAGTATTATTATTTTTCATAATTCATTCGGAAGCCCTCTTATGATATGATCAACTCCTTCATAAACTGTAGGGAAGCTTCTTGCTGGTTAGACACTGACACTTTTTACTTTTCAATTTCAGTCGATTCCCAGTATGGTATAACAATCATGTTATATCATCGATGGATAACTTTCTTCATTCTGATATTATTGATTATACAATTAACGACTTCTCGCTGGAGTGTAGTATGCTTAATCCGTTATTGTAAAGTGAATTCATAAGCAACTATTTTTTCACGGATTAAACACGAATGAAGAACAACGAAGTAAACATTAGGAGTCGAAACACAAATTTATAAGAACTTTAAAGTAGATTCACCAATGTAATCCTAAGTAAAGAAGCTACTTCAAAACAACTGTATTCAGTTAGGAAGATAAATGAAGATGGTTCAGCTTCTATTTATAATATACGTCTTTACACGTTCCAGTGTAGAAACAGTCTGTGGTCATAGGAAGCGGCTAAGGAGTCAGTAACAAGGGTTCAAGTAGAAGACCTATCAAAATCTTAGTCAACATGAATTGAATATTTACATCAATGATTTATTACCAATATAAATGTTTCCTAATCAAAAATTCATATTCAGTTATTTTAATTTTACCACCCTTGTTACAAGCCTTTCAGTTTATTTCTGCTTCACTTACACATGATCGTACCATGATTAGTTGTATTATACATGTGTTATGTTTCAAGAGTTAAGTGTTTTAAATTACCGAAGTCAGATATGATCTCTAAATAATAAATCGATATAATGAATTGTAACTTATAACTATTTTACTTCTCTTTAACTAATTAAAAATTGCGAAAATTTATGAATATTAAAAAGGCAGTACAATTACCTCTGCTATAAAAATAAACTTTTGTAGCTGTCAACACTAATGACTGCTATATGTTTACCTTAAATTATTTCGCTGATTTTCCTACTGACTACTCATACTGTATCAGTATTTGAACTGTCTTTTCAAGAAAATAAATTATATTCCTTTTTATTCACAGTGTAATGTATACATATCTAATTTTTATTTGCTTCTGTCAGGCTAATGCTAATCCATCACAAACTGATTCACATGGACGTACACCATATCGTGTTGCACTGAAGGCAGGACATTTAGAAATATGTAAACTTTTAGAGTTATGTCAATCTAGTTCCAATATGGTCAATAGTCATTGGACAAATAATAGCCATCATGAATTTTATCAACACAAACAAATAATCAAAGACTTAAAGAACAGACGTGATTCGGACAAAGTTGCACAGCATTCAACAATTCCACAACAGAACTACTCATTACAAAGTGAACAAATTCCATCAGATAGTCTTGACAATATGGATAGTAGTGAATTTCATAGATTAAGAAATAAAATGTTAAATCAAGGTGTTTCATCCCATCAACCTATGAATTTATCGAAATGTTAGTTAATTCTTTTTGGTTAAACATATGTATTTGATCTTTAGTGTTTTGATATAAATTCTAAAATCGATATCTTAAGGGTTTATAATTTAGATTTGAATTTGTCAGCCTTTGTTAGGATATGGAATCCATTAAGTGATTTTTTAGTGTTAAGTCAAGTTTTGGTTATCAAGCACCGCTTCATTACAGATGCCAATGTTTCCTTGTTTAGTTCTTCTACTTATTTCTTTATTTATTCATTCAATGAGTCTGCATCCTAACATAGACTGATCATAATCAAAATCAAATAACGGCAACTGATAAGGACGAACAATTAAAAAATAATCTTAAACATTCCATAAATCGGAAAGTTTGATTATTGTTGCGAATTATTTGTTAATATACGAGTATCTGTAGCTAAAAGTAATGAGTTGAATCTCAATATAAACATCAAAACTAGGATTTAGATAAATCCAGTTGACAAGTTACAAAGAAGACGTAACGTGGACAATCAGAATAAAACATCTGTTATGATATTAAACTTAGAGATTAATGCATTCATTGCTGACTTATAGATCCATGCTTTTGACACTATTTTAAAATATATCATGGTCCACTGTCAGATGAATTTCAGTTACCGTACCCGATTGCTGTAATTGGTAATTTAAAAAAATAAAGAGCTTCAATAGAAAATACGCTACTTGTATTCACCAAATTAAAAAAGATTGACTCATGAAATCTAAGACACTTTTCAATAAAAACTCGTATCATAAGCGGTTAGTCATGTCATTATCGACGTGTGTGTATACATTCTGATCTATCATCTATTTGACCATTTTGAAACCGATTTCCTAACACTTTTCTAGTCTCATAAAGTTCTCTACTCTTGAATCTTGAACAAAAGCAGAAGAGGATGTATGGAAGAAACTCCGTGTACATAAGACAAGTATATATTTAGGATAACGTGAGACTGAGGTTCTAGAAGCTTTCAATATCCATGTCTAAATTAGTAAAAAAAATTCAGTGATTATTCAATCAGAATAATTAAAGCTTAATTAGTCGTTTTCTGAACTTTTATTGGAATTAGCTAAAAAGACACTGATTAGTTAAATTAATTTAAAAGATTTCCTGGCTTTTAAAAACTGTTTTGTTAAATTATTGAGGGCTTATAACAGCACTACAAAATTCTATTATTATCGTCATAATTAAACTAACCTATGATTATATCAAATGAATTATCTAAATGATTTTAAACTATTAAAAATTTCAATTGTATAAATTAAAACAAGATACATAAACTGTCATTATTGTTTTCAATTAAATTTTCATCACTCCAAAAAGTTCATTAGTCTATGATGATAATGAATTGATATAGATAACTAATCATAATAAATATGGAATAAAATTTACACTAATGTAACAAGTATATCAACTTATCATAAACAAATACTTCATCACGAATTGTCCATCAAAATGTACTAATATGAACTACATAACAACTAACTAATAAAAATTATATAATAAGAAATATACAAATCAATTAGTTTTAATATAAAAATAATGAAAAAAAAGGATATAAAAGTTAGCCAAATATTTTAGTGTAAATATGTGATGATATCTTCAATTATTACGTGTATATATCCATATAAATATAACATTGTTTATCTAAGTAAACCTTAATAAAAATCTTATTGGAAACAATATCCTCTGTTGACATCAAACTTTCGAATATTTATTCCCTAAAAACCAATCATAACCTTATTTTTGAATGAATATTTAAATAAACGTGATTTGATAAGTAAATATGGTTCCATTTTATATTTTCATAAAAAAAATAAACAATAAATATGAATGGTGCTATCAGCTGTTAATAACTATATAACAATATAACAAACAACATGTGATTGTTTTTAAAGTAAATTTTAAAGAAATATACATCAAACTTAGTGAATATGATCTTTTAAAAGAAAAGTGATACGTTTGCATTACAGTCCGTTTTGGTATCATTGTAATATTTAATAGTATTCAGTTGTTTATTGATTATATACAAATCAATTGTGGTTTGTATACTGAATAAGGTGGTTCTTGAGTATGTCTAAATCTTTATGCAAGTTTAAACTATGAAACATGAAAAGCAAAAATGGATGGTGGCTAGCAGTGAAATCCAGGACGCACTTTTCATCCTATTTGGGATTTATCATCTGGATGTACCTGTATCACAGAGTTTATGTCTACTCCGGGACTAAAACCCAGTACCAGTTGCTTCAAACGCCATCACGTTATCCACTTAGCTATTGAGTTCTGATTACTACTTGCTTGTGCGATGAGGTGAAGTTTAAAGTCATTTTGTAATATTTGTTTGAATCTTCTCATTGATGTTTATGATCAATTGCAACCATTTGTAGTGCTACATTTTGAAGTGGTGATTCGACTGTCTTTGTTTTGGTAAAGATAAAAATCTGTAATGAGACCACTGTCAAATATATAGATACATAGATAGATAGATAATAGATATAGTACCACAGTTGTAAAGAGAGCTTATGTTACGTCATTGCACTAAATAAAAATGATAGTCTATCAGTCATGTCATCAGGGAGGATTGAAAACAAATTGAACTCTCGATATTTCTGCATTGTTGAAATATATTTCAACTAGTTATATTACTAAGACTTATTGACATACTAGTTTAAACCATAAATCTTCTGGTTAACTGTTTGTTTATTTTTATTTAAATAGTTGAGATCATGAGTCAACTGAAGCTAGACCACCATGGAAAAGCTTGAAGCACTGGACGGCCGTTTCGTTCTATTGCGCAACTCCTCAGCAGTGCGGGATCGCAAATGCTATAATATCCACAAAAACCCCTTCTGATATTTTTATTTACATGAAAATAACCAAAAAACAATAAAAATACAATTTGTCCGAGTAAAACGCCTCACAGTTCTACTAAAAACATTTCTTTCCACTGTGTAAAAAACTGATTATTGGTGAATAAGCATATTTAAAATATATTTATTACGGCTAAATATATGTAGATACTCAAAAAAGGACCTAAATCAGATTCTTAAAATCTGATCGAACTGATTGAATATGAAAAAACGTCAACTTTTTATACGTGGATTTTATTCATATAAACCATCTAAGGTTATTGCTCTTCTTATGCTCTCTGAGTATGACTGTTTGACATACTGGTCATTTACTAAAACTTCATTTTTACTGTTGCTAAGCAAAATTAAACTTCAGGCATTATTTACTGATTGCGTTTATATCATTCTGTAAGTTAATTTTTATATTAGTAAGATAATCTTTTGCATCTTTGATTATATAATGTTAAAACAAAACAGGAAATGAGTATGTAAACAAGTGATCTAAATTATTCCTAATAAAAAATATGACGTCTAACTAATTTATAATCAACAAATTAATATATATATATATGCATCTACAAACTCACATTATTATCAACCCTCCCACGTATTTAATTTTTCTTTAAAAATATAACAGTGTATTACGAAGATGATGATCCATATGCAAGACCACCTGAATTATTGACAGCAGGATTTGTACCGTCGAAAACAACTGTAGGTGGTGGCGGACAATTTCAAACCTCTAGCTTACGTGATAATCTTCTTATGTCCGAAGTGAAAGGAAACTGCAACCAAGATATCAATCTGAAATCCGGTTATCCAGTAGATCAAAGTCATCATCCGGTTGAAAAAAAATGGAATAATCAAAATTATTATCATCCACAACCTTGTAGTACACAAATTAATCATATCCCGGCATCTTGCAGTTCAAATTCTGGATATCCTTTACAGATGATATATCCCAGTGAAAGTAATCACCTTCAGGGTAGAGTAGATCAATCCCAAATACCAGGCTAGTTGTATTTTTTTAAATTCAATCTTTATGGAGTTCTTTTAATTATTTATACTATTTTTTTCTGACTGAAAGCCAAACCATAACACTATTTTACATGATAAAATAATTAAACTGATCAGATGTTCTTTCATAAATTTTGACTTGTTTACTAAGATATCTTTAGAGCTATAAATTGATTTTTAAAACAATCAGTGGTATATATTATTGAGGAAAACTTGAGCGTAATCACTGTTGAATACTTTTATACTCGTTGTTACTAGAAAATTTTAGGCATTCGATAAAGAATTATGAACCATGATTTTGTACTGGTTCGTACTTACGGATTAATTATGTCTACAATTTTTAGGGACTTCTCTCCTAAATATTGTAACCTGAATCACACAGTGACACACTCAAGAACGTTATGACTGAGCCGTTCTCTAAGTTTTCATTTGATAGGAGATGCAATTGTAGTCAATATATTGTCCTTTATGAATTATGCTTTACAATATTCACATAGATATTGGTTTCTTCACTTTTCATAACAGATATATTCTATTCTGTTCTAAGAACCTTATACATTGTTATTCATTAATGAAAAATTTATCGTTTGTTAACTCGCCTACCTGTAAGTCATTGTTATTTGGAAAAGAGAATATTTTTAAACAGTTACTCTTACCAATTACAGATTTATTCACTATTCTACTGTCCATGTTAAAAATATCATTTCTGTTCCAGTGATGTCAATAATTGTGGCTAAATTTATCACTTTCTAATAGCTATCCTTTTTCAAATTGGACATACAAACTATTTCAATTACTTTTGACAAAAGAGAAATAGTATAGAGTTTGCATTTTATCAATACCTTGAATAAGTCGATGTTATCTGAATTAATTTTACTCATGATCTGATCAATAATTAAACTATCGTTATGTTAAAAATTGATTTAAGAAAATTATTTGTACGAAATTTTATCAATAAATTTATGGTTAAGTAATTCAACGTTGTGTTGTCAAGTTAAAAGACAGAAATAAATCGTGAATTAAATGTTTTTTTGTAATTATCTGATGATTTTACGTTGAATTATGTAAACTACAATCTTGATGTTACTAAGCATATTTACAATACAGAATAATTATCCAAACTAACTAGGCAAAACAGTGAAAAAAGATAATTTAGTAATGCTCTCAAATAAATAAATAAAGGTCTTAACAATGTTTTTTTAGAGGGATATATATATATATGATCCAGATATCATTCATTTTTGTAAACACGACATGAAGTAGCTTCAAAAACATTAATTTCATGATACATTTGAATTGTTTAAGTAAACTATTGTGTTATTAAATAAAAATAAATAGAATTCAGTGAAGAAAAATCTCCTTTCGATGAAATCATTTACTCAACCTGTACATTCGAATCTATGGTTATATAAAAAATATATATCTATAGAAGGATAAAAAAGATTCCATCTTAAATTGGTTCAAGTCTCTTATAATCAAATGAGGTTACGCAATAATTAACTGGTAAGTGAAAAATGTAAGGATGAAAATAATTTACGGGTTAGATAATTGTCCAACTGACAAATATGAAAAACGATAAGCATAAACGTCATAATAATAAAAGCAGAATAATAATCAAGAAAACTTGTTTAAAGATAATAATAATAATTACTGATTACAAATTAAAATTATAAAACACTAATTGAAAAAAACCAATAATAATAGTAAACCGGAAGATACTAGAAAAGGGAATTAGGGCCAAGGAAGGATGAGAGGCTGGACGTTTCGTCTTTGCAAGCGAAATTCGGGCTTGAGCTGGTGGATTGCCAATACCTCAGCAGTTCGTAAGATTTTGATTCGACCTCCTTTTGATCCAATTGCTTTAAAAGAAGACTTCTTTGGAGTGATGTGTCCACAGTTGATTAAATGCTCCTGTATTGAACTAGTACTTGTTTTGCATTCTCCTTTTAAAAGCCATGCCGGGTAGTGTTCTACGTTGTACTCTCAAAGTGCCCAGATTGTTTCATGGCCAATCTGGAAGATACGGTACTTCGACCAATGATTGGGAGATTTCATTTATATAAGAGATATATGGATGATACTTTCGTTATTTGTGAAGAAGACATGGGCCTCAAAGAAATTTTGAACGGTTTCAATAATTGTCATCCTTCAATTCAATTCACCTTGGAAGCAGAGGCAAACAATAAATTCCATTTTATTGATGTCCGATTGAAAAGAAGGCTGGATGGTTTTTTACAGAGATCTATATATAGAAAACTGACTTGGAATGAACAGTACACAAATTTCCATAGTTGGGCCCCACTGGGTAGAAAGAGGGACTTAATTCACCTTTTATCTTCAAGGATCAGGAGAATATGTTCTACTGACACAATAGATGATGAATTACTTCAAATTCAACATGCACTCATTAGTAATCGTTATCCACCTAGATTCGTCGATAGTAACTTCACACCTAAACGTCGTCCGGATACAGTGCCATTAGTACAAAAGAAAACTTTTACAGCTGCTGAGATATTGATTAAACGGATTTCAAAATTGCTGAATAAAACGTTCTACTTAGCTAAACTCCGAATTATTTTTTCTAGCCGGCCTACCATTCATGGATGTGTTAAGGATAAACTTTCGCTTTGGACCAAATCATTATGCATATGCAAATTTACTTGCTCACGTGGGACAGGTTACATTGGCATATAACTATAAATATGAATGTACAGCTTAAGTGAATAATCTCGTTGAGAGAAATTTTTTTCACTGAATTCTCTTTACATTTGAATTGATTGACTTAGTTAATTGTATGAAACTAACCATTATGGCAACCAAATAGTTTTACCAAATATTGTTTACTAATTTTTCTAATGTAAGTAGACAATTCATAATAATTTATTCGATTTTCTCATTTATTCATCTGTATTTAAACATGAACATTTTTGAAATTCTATCTTGACTAAAAATGAGATAAGAAATTTTGTTTTTCTTTTGTTGTTTACAAAATGCATTGACTGTTTTCTATATTAATATAAATTATATATAATGAAAATGTACTTCTTATTCATTATTTTCTTTTTGTTAATGAAATACAGTGAATAAATATGCACTCTAGAGGTGCATTTAAAAAAATGATTTGATAAATCATTAATTTTATTTATTTTGATAGAGTAATAATGTTGAAATATCAGATGGGTTTTGTGGAGATTATAGTAATTTCAGTGGTTAAGGTCATGAGTTAGTTGAAACTAGACCACCATGGAAAACCTGGAAGCTGAGGAGTCCCACGATAGGACGAAACGGCCGTCCAGTGCTTCCAGGTTTTCCAAGGTGGTCTAGCTTCAACTGACTCATGATGATCTTAACTATTGAAATATTGAAATAATTAGTATCATGAATATAGTTTTGTTGAGTGAATTTTGGAATCTAAGGAACTGTGAGAACTTATTTTGTTGGAATACAAAACTTTTTTTATTTTGTATACACTTAAATCTTCATGAGATGAAATTCGAATGTTCAAACTTTAAAATAGTATACAATTTCAAATTAAAGAGGAATGGCTTTTCAGTCGTACATAGTTTTATATAATTATTCAGGAGCCCTGAAAAATCGGTTGATGAGGTTATGAATATTTATCAACTGAGGTTGCTTGGAGTTACTTTACGTAGAATAAACCACTACTTAATTCGATGAGCGGTATTATCTAGAGTAGAAATATACCAGAAGAAAGCGAAGGGTAGCCAAAATAAGTCGTGGCATTAGTCTATCAATTATTTGGCTGGTGTTCTTAGCCATATTAATAAATGAAAACTACCTTCTTGAGATCCGCGCGATAACCACAATCAGTGATTAATGACGTTGATTGACTTGGCTGACAATTAGTCACAGTTGATTATATACATTCACTCTTCTTCTGGCTCTAGATCTTGATTCTCAATATTCTCCCAGATTTGCCCTCTGGTTCTGTCTTTTTAAATCATCCTCTCCATTTGTACTATCTTATCATCATTGTTAAAACAAAATATTTTAGCCCTTTAAAAAATTGTTATTTTCACCTCGTCGTGCTAATATTTTATGACAACTTGAGCTAATGTACATTTATGCCAGACTATATATTGATTATACTTCATCTTCAACAAACTATCTAACTTAGAAATAATAACATGCAAGAACTGATATTTATAATCTGAAAAAGTAACATAACTTAAATGATTCATTTATTTCTATTTTTCTGCAGCTGTTAATTTTGTTCAGTATAATCCAATGATGTTCCCAGCTTCAGCTTATTGTCAAAAAGATTACCATCCCATAAAAAATCAATTCACTTCGCATCCATCAATCGTTGTTCCAACGAATAGAAAGCCCAATCTATCAATTGTAAAATCCGAAGTACCTGTTACACAAGTTCCTAAAGATGCTTTACAGAAAACTACCCAAGTAGATGACAAACAATTTAATTGTAACAGAAATAATAAATATTTGCTGAATAATCAAAAAAGTATCCATTTTTTATCTAATGAATACAAACAAGTACAGAATGCAGATAAAGAAACCTTTGTAAAGCATAAAAAGTTATTGTCAAGTAAGTTAGAATGTTTTGGTGGTCCAAGCTCATCGAGAGGACGACAAATAAATCAACGTAATAATAATATTACTAATAATTCCGACAATAGTGATGAATTGTATACAGAAGATTGTAAAAGTATGTTTTTTAAATCAGCAGTTGCCAGAGTATTCGGTTTCGGTAGTAAAAAACATAAAAAATCAACAAAACTGTCCTCGGGAAAACATGAATCTCCAGTACTTGGTTCAGGTGCATTATAGAATGGATATTATTATGTTGATATTAATCAACCAATTCTTATTATGAAAAATATATTTCGATCACGCAGAAAGTTGGATCAGGAATACCAACGATGTTTGACGATCTGTTGTCTGTCTATTTTTTTCCAATTAATTCGTCGAATTTGTCTTTTAAATTCATTTTGTAAAATGGATTTACTTTCGTTTGAAAAAAAAGATTTACAATATGTATAAGCAATAAATCTTTTTAAATAAATTAAGAAATGAACTCTGTAAGAATGTGTAATCTAATTAGGGAGAGTTCTATTTTGCAATGAGTTCACTAACAAAATCAGCATTTATTTATTGATTATTCATTTGTTTTCTTTTATTGACTTTTGTTTATAATGTTCAAATGAAGATGCATTAACGATTATTCAGAGCATTCAAAATTATCTTGTACAAAGTAATAAAATTAAACAATTAGCTGCATTTTTTGAGTACTTTTTTTATTAATTAGTGATCAGGAAAGGGTCAAGCAATCTTTGGTATGAAATTTTTACCACTAACATATCTTTATAGTATGGGATTTGCGGAGACCGTAGCATTCTCAAAGTTAAAATCACGAGTTGATTTAAAGTAGATCATCGTCGGAAGTCTGGAAGCATTGGGCGACCATTTCGTCCTTGGATGTCAGTAGACATCTGCGATCCCGAACGCGGTCTCTTGCGTAAAAGCTTAGTTTACAGACCACTGAGCCAGCTTCTAGAGATGGTAATGTCTAACTACAGTCAACATGTGGTCTTGCGCAACCCTTCATCCATTGCCTGGGGTGAATATCTGCCTCACACTAGACACGGATTGGAGTCAACTGATCACAGCTCCTCACTAGGACTCTAGGAGTTAATGGTGAAGCTAGTCACTAGCGAGCACATGATTGGTGATTAACGTCAAGTTCCTACACTATTACAGCATATTTATTAGCAGTAACAGTACATGTTTTCTCAATAAATAGGTCATTCATGTTAGCATTCCCTTTTGCATTAGCTAGCCTTCCTTCAACGAGTGCCCTCAACCATTATACAGTGTTAAACATTATTCGTACTTCTAATTAGACATTATTTAAAATAGATTTTAGTCATTCTGTTTAGATGGGAGCCGAATGAAAATTATGATCTATATGTTCAACATAAAATAAACTGTGTAAGATTGTTTAGAAAGGGTACTATACGTAAGCAGTTATGTGATGGTATCCTCCTGTTGGAAAGTAGTGTTTATTGTTGCGCGATAGGTTATCATTATTTTACTCGTCAACACTGACAAAATCAGCATTAGGTATTGCATAACTATTGAGATATTTGGTTGAAACCATTAACAACCGCTACAATGTAGTTCTTAGCAGTATTACTGTCAAAGTATTTAGAACTTTAATTTCAAATGTCTTGACTGATCAATTTTACTGCTGGATTAGTTGGAACATTGGTGTCAAATCGTGAGTACATAAGTGTACCTCATTGCTAACAAGTGATTGTAGCGGTAAATAAATCCCCAAAATAAATAGCACTAAGTTTTCGACATTGGATGCTGACCATATGTTTTAGTGGACTCACCTAGCTGAAGGCGCTCGGTCAGTCATCCGCACCAGATCACGTGTGGTAACGCCGTGCTCAACATCAACCGCAATCGCTAGCCAGATTAGATCAGAGAATTCCGATATATTGGTCATCGCCAAATATACTCTTCCGATCTCCTCGACTCTGTCTTTTGATTTCTCTGGGCGGGAACGAAATATATTAGAAGGTGTTACTGCTAGAAGCGTTGTCAAACACTGAATACCTGTGACATCATCATTGGTGAAACCGACGTGATCTGGTACACCTAATTGCAACTGTGAGTCTGTTCCTTTTTGGGATTTTTATATATCATTGCCTTATTTTTTTTAACTTTTTTAAACATTGTGATTTTTTTTTCGTGTTTTTTCCTGGATATATATATTTTCCTCTTGTTCATTATCGTACTTCATACTTCATCATGACTGAACACACACCTAAGGTACTCAAGCTTAAGACTTTGTCCCCGCCTTCGTCTCAACTCATGCCTTTCTGGCCCGACAACATCGAAGCCTGGTTTTGCTACGCAGAAGCCGACTTCTCCGAGCACGGCGTGATCGACACACGTGCACAATTCCTCGCAGTAGTCAAGGCACTACCGCGCGAATTCAACAGGTACGTAACACCTAGTATGTTTACTAGTGATGTTTCCGATCCTTACGAAATCTTAAAACGCTCGATTCTTAAACGAGGAGACCTAACCGATCGACAACGGTTAGATCAACTCTTCAACAATATCGACCTGCAACACGGTTCTGCGACAGACATGTTGCAACGGATGAGAGAGGTTATAGGCCCAAGAACTTTCGACGAAGGCCTATTCAAACAACTCTTCTTGTCAAAACTTCCCCAACAGGTGCAAGCAGTTCTGGTCTCGTTCCAGAACAACGCCTTAGACGAGCTAGCTGCATCTGCCGACCGCATATTAGAAATTACGAAATCTACTACCGAGGTATTTTCAGTCACAGAAGAACCTCAAACGACTCAGAATGATATAAACGACTTATGTCACACACTCACGCGTTATCTTAGTCTTCGTACCGACCGTAAGAGATCGCGCACACCACGTAGAAGCATTTCTCGTAAGCGATCTGTCTATAGACCACGAGAGACAGATAACCCCGACTGGTGCTGGTATCATAACCAGTATGGAAAGTTTTCCAGAAATTGCAGAAAACCCTGCAATTTTCCCAACACGAAACCGACTGACTCGAAAAGCAATTCGGGAAACTTCCAAGCCGGCACGTGTTAACGGCAACCGTAGCCGGCGAACAAAGCCGTCTGTTATTCGTCACAGATGTGACAACGAGAGTTCGCTACCTCGTCGACACTGGCGCAGAAGTTAGCGTTCTCCCAGCGAATCCTAACGACCGACTTCACGAATCGACCCTAAACTTACAGGCGGCAAACGGAAAACCGATCGCTACGTATGGCAAAAGGTACGTTTACCTTAACGTGGGTTTACGCAAACCCATCCATTGGATTTTCGTTGTTGCAGATGTTTCTATGCCAATCATTGGTATGGACCTTCTACAACACCATAATCTTATCATCGACACGCGCAAACGGAGGCTAGTAGACGGAAACACTAATTTGTCCGTTTGCGTAACTTCTTTCACTGGTTGTAGAGTATCCCCAGTCACAGTTAAACATATGATAGACCCACTCTATCAACCACTACTCGATAAGTACCCTGGGATACAACAAACTCAACCGAAACTACCGTGTGTAACCAGCAATGTTACACATCATATCACGACTACAGGACCACCTGTATTCTCTAAAGCACGACGACTAGCTCCCGAAAAGCTAAGGTTAGCGAAAAACGAATTCGATCACATGATGGACTTAGGAATCATACGACCGTCAAATAGCCCTTATGCATCTCCGTTGCACATGGTCCCTAGAAAGGACAGCAACGATTGGCGTCCAACTGGTGACTATCGGCGATTGAACGCGAAAACCATTCCCGATCGTTACCCGTTGCCTCACATTCACGATTTGACAGCTACCTTGAAAGGTACAACTGTCTTTTCGAAAATCGACTTGGTTAAAGCGTATAACCAAATCCCTATGGCTACTGACGACATACCGAAAACGGCTATCGTAACTCCCTTCGGACTCTATGAATTTTTGCGAATGCCTTTCGGTCTAAGGAATGCTGCTCAAACATTCCAAAGATTCATAGACGACGTTTTTCGAGGTCTCAACTTCGTACACGCGTATGTTGACGACTGTCTAATCGCAAGTCCGGACAGAGAAATACATCTCAAGCATCTGGATCTTGTTTTCGAACGACTTCAAAAACATGGCATAACTGTAAACGTTCAGAAATGCCAATTCGGAACCAACTCGTTAGACTTCCTAGGACACACTATCGATGCTCAAGGCATTCGACCTCTTAGGACCAAAGTGGCGGCCATTTTGGATTACCCAGAACCGACCACCGTCAAGCAATTACGCACGTTTAACGGCCTGGTAAGTTTCTATAGACGTTTCATACCCAAATGCGCAATACTTATGAAACCTCTGACCGACCAACTTCGTGGAAATGCGAAATCCATTAATTTGGACGACACCGCACGAAAAGCATTCTCCACAGTTAAGGAACTGATTGCTAAAGCAACAATGCTCGCACATCAGGACACCCGAGCACCCATTAGCATCGCAGTAGACGCATCCGACTCAGCAATCGGAGGAGTCTTACGACAATGGGTTAACAACTCCTGGCAACCCTTGGCATTTTTCTCTAGACGGTTGCTAGACACCGAATCGAGGTACAGCACATTCGGTAGGGAACTCCTAGCTATGTATTGTGCTGTACGGCATTTTCAACACTACATCGAAGGTCGTGAATTCACTCTTTTCACGGACCATAAACCGCTCACTTTCTCGTTAAGCTCTCCTTCTGACAAGTACTCTCCCCGTGAGTCTCGACAACTGGACTACATTTCGCAGTTTACTTCAGACATTCAACACATCTCTGGAGCAAACAATGTAGTTGCAGACGCTTTATCTCGCATAACTTCCTTGAACAGTTTCCAAGGAATCGACCTTCTTAAACTCGCCCAGCTTCAAAAAGAAGACACTGATCTTCAGCACGAGTTATCGTCCACAACACTTAAACTACGCATCAAACAGATGGGAACAGGTAACGAAACCTTACTTTGTGACACGTCTACAGGTAGGGATCGCCCAATCGTGCCGAAACATTATCGACGCAATGTCTTCAACACATTGCACAAACTTTCGCATCCAGGTGTTCGTGCGACCATCAAGCTTATAGCAGAACGGTTTTGCTGGCCTGGAATGAATAAAGACGTGAGGGAGTGGGCACGCTCCTGTGTAAGCTGCCAAAAATCTAAGGTTATCAGACACAATAAATGTCCCTTAGGCTCGTTTAAAACTCCCGATGCTCGTTTCGACCATGTTCATTTGGATTTGGTAGGACCTCTACCAGATTCAAATGGATACTCTTATCTCTTAACCTGCGTAGACCGTTTCACTCGATGGCCAGAAGCAGTACCTATCAAGGACATAACTGCTGAAACAGTGGCCCACACCTTCGTCGAACGATGGGTAGCAAACTTCGGTTGCCCTTCAACTATCACTACAGACCGCGGACGTCAGTTTGAATCTGATCTTTTCCGTCGTCTGACCACACTTTTAGGAATCACTCGCTTCCGAACGACCGCCTACCATCCACAAGCAAACGGGTTGGTAGAACGTTTTCACCGACAACTGAAAGCTTCGCTATCAGCTGCAAACGTTTCACAGTGGACTGACGCTCTTCCACTCGTCTTACTAGGTATCCGCAATGCAGTGAAAGCTGACATTGGATACACTGCTGCTCAACTCGTTTATGGAACAACACTTCGACTTCCAGGA